AAGTCTGGGAGAAATAGCTAACACACTGGAAGGTACCCAAAAGATCTTGATAGGTTAGTACATTGGGCTGAATTGAAGATGAAATCTAATAGAGATAAATACTCAAGTCTTACCCATGGGTACAATTACAAGGACAGAATAGGGAGAAACTGGGGAAGGGAAAAGAGAAGAGAATAAGTATTTATATAGCATCTACTATGTGTCAGGTACTGTGCTAAGTACTTTATAAATATCTCATTTGATCAGTAGTCAATATGAGTCAGCAGTACATTTCAGGGGAAAAAATTATTCTGATTTTCACCTATATTAAGAGGGCAAAGGTTTCAGAGATAGGAAGTTATCATCTCACTATATTCTGCCTTGGCCAGATCTCATCTGGAGCATTGTGATCGGCTCTGGACATCATTATCATTATAGCTGACGCTTATATAGCACCTACTATCTGCCAGGTACTGTGCCAAGCATTTTATAATTATTATCTCATTTGATACAACAGCCCTGGTAAGTAGGTGCTATTATTATCCCTATTTTATAGATGAGGAGACTGAGGCAGAGGTTAAATGACTTGTTTACACAGCTAGTGTCAGAGGGCCCATCTGAACTCAGGTCTTCCCGACTCCAGACCCCATCCTCTATCCAGTGCTCCATGTTGCTTCAATAAAGGAGACTGATAAACTGTCCAGAAGAAGGTAACCAATATGGTGAGGGGCCTTAAGTACCACTTGAGGATGAGGTGAAGGACATAGGATATCCTAATAAGCTTGGAGGAGACAAGGCTTAAGAATATGTCTCCAAGGACTTGAAAGGCAATCGTTATTGATTAGACTTATTCTCTTTGGTACCAAATGGCAGAACTGGAAGCAATTGGGAGAAGGGACAAAGAGGCAAATTTAGCCTTGGTATCACAAAAAGCATAATTAGAGCTTTCTAAGATCTAAATAACCTACATTAGTAATGGGTGGTATTGGTGGCACAATGAATAGAGTGTTGGGCCTGAAGTCAAGCAGACCTGAGTTCAAATCCAGCCTCAGACATTTACTAGTTGCGTGACCCAGGGCAAGTCATGTAACCTCTGTCTGTGTATTCCCTTCCCTAACACCTTCCACTCCCTAGTCCCAGGGGGTTTATCTCACTGGAGTTTTTCAAGCAAAGACTGGATAACCACTTATTGACTCCATCATGGAGGATATTCCTTTTCAGGCATGGGTTAGACTAGAAGACACCTTTCAGTATGTTAGCTATTTCTTCCAGACTTGTTATCATTTGTAAATTTGATAAGCATGCCTTCTAAGTCATTATTCAAGTTATTGGTAAAACTGGCATAGGGCCAAGAACAGATCCCTGGCATACTCCATTACTTGACATCAAATCAATCATTAATGTCTATCTTCCAACTCTGAAATTTTGGGGAAGTTTGGAGAATAACTTAGAGTTGAGAGGATGTTTGGCCAGGGAGTCCTTCACTACAGCATAATGGGAGGCCTTGTGGTCCAATAGGCAGTTGGCGTCTAGCCAAGTACAATGAGGGAGCCACCTGGTACATTCCTCCTGTTGCTGCATTTCTCCCAAGGAAACCAACACAAAAATGTCCTTATGAGACTAGGCAGTAGAGGAAAAGGGAGGGAATGACTCATGGCGGTGTTTGCCAGGTCATCAAAAGTCAAACACAAACTTAAAATTTGAGCAGGCTATAGGTAACTTATATTGTAAGTGATATTATATCTGGGGTGCTGTAGGCTAGCCAGATGACACTCAACAGACAGTAGATGGAGGATTAGAGCTGGGGAGAAAGGACAGTGATAAAGATAGCTATTTGAAAGCCAACAGATTGAAAATGATTATTGAAACAGAGTGGATAAATTTATCAAAACAGCTCCTATTTAGCAAAAAAAATTCATACCCCATTCAAAGGGTTTTTTTCTTCCCCAAGCCTTCCTGATCAGATTATTATTATCATTATTATATCAGATACTGCTTCTTGAAAAAGCAGCTATCTTCTGGGGAAAATTATTTGGATAATCACTACTTCTAAATTATTTTTTAAAATAATTTGAGTATTGTCTCAAATTTGGGGAAGAAAGTAAATGAACCCAGTAAGGGGAAACTGAGTAAACACTAGTTTTTGGAAAATTCAAAAATAATTTTCAAGCTCCTCTCTTAATCAGGCTCATAACACTGTATCATATATTGAATGAAATTCATTTTTATAGCAAGAAAAAGTTTTAGTGATAATTATTTTTTAATGTGCTAGTCCTTTGAATTAATGTTAAGTTTGCATGGAAACAGAAAATCATTTCATTATTTTCTGAGATATTTTGTTCAGAAATGTGCAATATATGCCCATTTCAAGTTTGATTTCATCTATGCTTAGAAATCCTTGACCAATATTCTACTCAGATCCCTTGCTTTGTTATGGAGTAAAATCCTGGGTTCTTGGAGGTTAAGTCAACAAACTACAAACTACTACAGGTCTGAGCATTGGCTTAGCTCCAGAATATTGCTTGCTGTTGAGGTGATGAATCATTCTAGCCACTGCAAACAGCCAAGATCATACTCCAAGTAACTGACGGGTTACGAAACTTACAAACCACATTGAGGAAATCATAAAAACACTAAAGCACGCTAGGAAGGAAAAAGAACAAGAAATGCATCCTAGGATTGATTAATCAACTATTTTCCACTTGGGATTTATGGTTAAAAAATCAGCTATTCGTTATTTCATGAAAAAGAAAGTATGCTTATTCTTAATGTTTATTTTTATTAGTGTTTATGAAATAAAAACATCTTAAAATATTTTATTTTTCAAGAAATAGTAACAATCTCTGCAAAATACATATGCCGAAAATAGCCTTACAACATATAGGCCTTTGCATATTTTAAACATTATAAGTCCTTTAAAAAAAAATCACATTGCTCTAAAGTAAGTTCTTCAGAGTTCCAAGGTTGGAAGACTGAAGCAAAAGTCTGGAGAGGAAGTAACCTTTCATCGTGGTCTCCTAGTGATTAAATTACACCGATAAAATCAACTTTCCACGTGTACATTCAAAGTGACTTAACTTTCAGGATCCTAGGGGACGCTGCATAGGATAAGATATTTACAGTTGTGTTCCCTATGAGGCTTAAATCACCTTTGGGTAAAGTATAGAATAGTTTACTTACCTTGCTTCATCATGGTATTAGGGAGAGTTAAATATAATAGGTAAAAGGACATGGGGGGAGGCAAATCAAATCCTCTCTCTGGATATGTGAAGGGATGGGGGAATAAGGGTTAGAGGCAGAATGATAGGTCAGTGGGTTCTCAAACTTTTTAGTCTCAGGACTCTTTTAGACTCTTAAAAATTACTGAGGACCCTCAGGGAACTTTTATGAGAGTTCTATCTATTGACATTTATCATATCAGAAATTAAAACATCTTAGTATTTTGATGAAATTAGTTTTGACTCATAGACCCCCTGAAAGGGTCTCAGGATGCCCAGGGGGTCCCCAGATCATACTCTGAGAATCCCTGGATTTGTTAATTTCTGAAATCCCAGTTCTAACATGATTTCAGAGACAGTTAGGAACTTATGTTTCTGCAAACATTTCAATTAACAGATCATGTATGGGCCAGGTTAATTACGTAGGCAAAAATTAATCTCTGTTTAATCTTCACTTGCAATTCTTCAGTCACGAAGGAATGAGAGAAAAAAAAAAGTATTCTCATGATTATTTCCAGAAAGGAAAATACAATCTCATAAAGGCATAGGACCTCAAATCCCTGCACCTTCAGAATAAATGACCAGAAAATGGAAAAGAAGCTGTATTATTCCAACTCAGCGGCTCAAGGATTATGACAACAGGGAAGACAGCTTGGGGTAATGAGGGAGTTAAATGTCATCAAATACTCATTAGAGAGGTGCTTAGGACCAACACAGAGGTCATACTACTTTTGTAAGATTTGGAGCCAGAAGTTCTACATGGGAGGAAATAGAAAGCCCAGTGGTAAGTGACCTAGCCAGGGCTCAAAAATTATGGGCAGCAAAAGCCAGAATTGAAAACCAGGTCTTTCACCCCCAAATCCAATCATCTTACACTAAGTTACTTAGCAAGTAAGCTATCAAATGGTCTTCTGGATATTACAGTTTCTTCCATTTGAAGGCATGGTAAATTCTGGCTTGACAGAATGCTACATATGAAATGTTTTATTAAAACCCCCATTACCATTTAACTTAAATGGACTTAATATACATACATCATACAATAACATACCAGCAATTATTTTATCCATCATTTTTATGTGCGGTGAAATATTTATTTTTTCCATTCAAGGTGTCATGAAGATAATGACAACAGGTTTTGACATTAAAAAAATAAGGAACCACATTCCAATTCCATTGGAAAAAAAGTCTACTCTCACAAATTAAGATGACTAATATTGCTTAGAAAAGTTGGCTTTTAAAAGTACACCAAAGTTCTCTAAGCCATGTTTTTGGTTTAGAGGTTATTATAAAAAATAATTTTAAAAAAGTTACCTAGAATCCTGAGAGATTTCCACTTGGTATTGCTTTAAATATCTATAACAGATTTATAGAAAACTACCTTTTCTTGGGAGGAAATCACATTAGGCTGTAAATGTGGTTAAAATATTCCACATTTTGCCCCTTTATGATTAGAAAAACTGAAATGAGAAACCATAAACATCAAAATTTGAATGCAATTATACATAATGACATAGGAAAATTAAAATTGTAGGCTGTAGATGTAATTACTGTGGCCACTTAAACATTTGGCCAATTTTGACTGAAGGATTTTTTGCCTTTTAAAAAAATGTGAAGCTTTTGCCTGTCAAATTCTAGTATTAGCATGGAAAAGGCACTTTATAGATCTAGGCTTTGGTCTAAAAAAAATGGATTTGCACTATTTAAAAAAATTGAGACTTCTATTTTAAGTTTCTGTTTACTATGCTAAAATTTATAAATGTAAATATTTATTCACTTAATTAATATAATGCTAATTTGGCCCTTGTGTTGCTCAAAATATTCTTAATTTCCTCTTCTACTCAGGTGCTCACAATAAAGACAATACATTTCTTTTTTTTTTTTTAAAGCATTATACATGTACTTTTTTTGTTCCAGTCATGGAAAAAAAACTTGAATCAAATTTTTTTCTTTTGATAAAATTCATAATATCAGGGAGAGCAAACTAGCCAAGTTATTTAAAACTATTAAAAATACATATGCTGTTTTCAAAAAATTATACTTCTATTACTAAACTCATAAACTGTATGACCAATTAATAAAAATACACCTTAAAATTTTCTGTGTTATTGGCATGAAGTTCTACCTGACAAGTTTATCTTAGCACTGATGTCTTACTTGAGAATTCTGGTACCATTTGCGAATGACAGCTCCAGAGCTGCTGGCTACCACACAAAGGGCACCACTCACTGTCCACCACGTTGGCATTTTATTAAGGAAAATAATCTGAAGTAGGAAAGCAAAAACTATATCCATTGTTTTCATTATGGCCACAGGCCCTGCTTTTTCTACCTGAACTGCTTTAGTGAGAAATATCTGCCCCCCCAACCCAAAAAGTCCTATTAATACCAAAAACAGCCTATCTATACCACAATGAGGTAGACGCCAGTCGCCCACTACAATGAGTACGATGATAGATTCTAATAGTCCAATCACTACATAATACCAAATGTTCAGCAGATAGTGCACAGATTTCCCCACCTTTCTTAGTATAACAAGAGTCAGAGCAGCACACATTGCACCACCTAAAGCTGCTAATGCTCCTCTAAGGTGATAGGAATGATTTTCTTCCATCCCTTCTGTGTTGTAGCCAAACAAAAATGGTGGTCTTGCGATAAGTATCACGCCAGCAATTGCAAAGATAGTGAAGAAAAGATCCCAAACACTGTATTTTTCCTTGAGATATATCCAAGCAAACAGTGAAGTGAAAACTGGAGTAGTAAATGTGATAACAGTGGCATCAGCGATGGGCATTAACTGGAAAGCATAGTAGAGAAGGATCATTGCTGTGGAACCAAAGACTCCCCTGAGGAAAAGGAAAATTCGTTTGCCTTTGGGTCCCAAAAACCCCAACCTGCAAATTAAAATAAAGAAAAGCATGTCACATTAACTCAGTATTGATGTGCAAATGTCAGCTACTCTGTAAAGGAAACTCACTAATGAGTTACATGTACTGCTAGCTGGATGTGTGTCTAGGGAGGATGTGCTCTACAAGAGAGGCTAATACTACAGAAAATAGGAGATATAAAGTGGAAAAGAAGAATTAAAATGTTTTAGCCAGAATCACCTGACCAGCTGTTGACTTTAAATCCAACTACATTGTTTGGAAAACTTAATACAACATAAAAGAGTTGAAGATTGACTACAATCATCACAATCAACAAAGATGCTGATATATCAAACAAGTAAGCAATTATTACATGCCTACTGTGTACCCTGGGGACACAAATACAAAAGATAATCCCTGCCTTCAAAGAGCTGACATTAGATTGTAAGATCCTTGAGGGCAGGGGTTGCCTTTTGCCTCTTTTGGTATCCGAAGTACACTTAATAAATGTTTATTGACTGATTGATGTTATTGTTATTAACAGATTAAACAGATGAACACATTAACAGATAAGTAATTATAGGATAAAGTACTGATGATTGGCGTCAGAGCTAGATACCCTTCTAAGAGTCTAGATTTGAGAGTGCATTATCTGTGAATATCTGGCATTAACATTGGGAGAAGTGCATATCATAAGAGGCATTCTTAGCAAATCATACATGACCAGTTAAAAGGATTAAATTGTGCCTTTAAAGAAACTGAAAAGAAAGCCTAAAATAATATTGACATAATAAATACAGTTGCACAGACCCTACCTTCACAAACATCCAATGCTTATCAGATTCTTAGCTGGTTATCATCTCTAAAACACAAAGTGTCCCAAAAGTCTTAGTGCAGTTTTAAGCTTTAGTAGCTTAGCTTAAAATTGCACTAAGACTTTTGGGAAACCCATATTTTTTGGATTTTCATTCCTATTCACTAAAAAATTAAGACCCACAATTTTTATATGGCATTGAGTGACAAAGTTAACTAGAATCTAGGTGTACATATTTCTTTTATTAATTTCTTAATGTCTGGCATGAAAGACCATTTTAAGTGACTTTTAAAAAAAATCTAAAAAATGGATTGTCTTGTGTAACAATGAGGCTAGACAACCACTGGTCAGACAATAAAGTATTATACAGAAAATCACTTCATGGGGTAGGAAGATGACTGAATTGACTTCTCAGGTCCTGTATATAATGCAAGATTCTCTGAATGTGTGTTTGTGAGAGGGGAAATATTTTTAAGTAATTGAAATATAATTGAAATTTTGAAGTAATTGAAAAAAAATTAAGAAATTGAAAATTGAAATTACATTTGGGATTTTCTTTCTAGTTCCAGTTTGAGAGTTAAGCATCCTTGCTCCCAAAACAATCCAAAGAATTCTAGCTCATTGCTTGCCTTTCGCCCAATAGCACTCTGGTGTGGTTTAGAGGGCTACAGTCTGATACTCCTAACACAGGGAAGGCAGAAAGAGAGAGTGGAGGACAGGTGTGAGAGCAAATTGGTAGGGAAAGAGAAGTCAATGGTTGACTAGCTTTTCTCTTCCCCATGTAAGCATCAAATGATCTGTTAATTTAATACTTTTGTATGTTCTACATATAAAATATTGTTACATCATACAGAATAATATTATTCTAGGATATAGAATGTTCTATAGTATACTATTATAGTCTATTCTACTAATATTATTATATTATATAATAATTAGAATAATAAAATGAAACATCTGCAGCTTAGAAAAGACTGCTGGCAATAACAATATACCATATCAAAAAATAAAAATAATTGGTGGTAGTGTAGATGGGTGTGAGAATGAATGAAGTCACTACTCAGGAACATACCATCATTTCAAAATGTTTGCAGGTGTGTTTCTTATGAGGCAGCTAGGTGGTGCAGAGGACAGATTGCTAGGTCTGGGGTCAAGAAGACCTGAGTTCAAATCCAGCCTCAGACACTTACTAATTATGTGACCCTGGACAAGTTATTTAACTCTTGTCTGCCTCAATTTCCTCAACTGTAAAATGAAGCTAACAATCACACCTACCTTATAAGGTTATTGTGAGAATCAAATGAGATAATGATTGTAAAGTACTTAACACAGTGCCTGACTCATAGTAGGCTCTTAAAATGTTTGTTCCCTTTTCCCACTCCTTTGTTTGTAACCCCCCCTTCCCCCACTTTATGGGGATAAGAAAATAAAAGGTTTTGTACTACATTTCCTTTTGGTTTATATGGAAATTGGGGTGGGAAATCTCCTACAGGCAGATATATTCTATTGGTATAAGACACAATGAAAGTTGGTAATGAATAGGAACATTGACAAAAAGATTATTGATCAATGTTAATGAGGTCAATGAATATTCTATAGACAAAAAGACAAATTTTAGGTTTGACAATTGTGAATAATTATTAAATCCCTCATTTTACAGTAAAAAGTAATACTTACAACCAGTGTCTCTGATAAGGGCCTCATTTCTAAAATATATAGAGAACTAAGTCAAATTTATAAGAATACAAGTCATTCCCCAATTGATAAATGGTCAAAGGATGTGAACAGGCAGTTTTCAGATGAAGAAATTAAAGCTATTTATAATCATTTGAAAAAATGCTCTATATCATTGTTGATTAAAGAAATGCAAATCAAAGCAGCTCTGAGGTACCACATCACACCTATCAGATTGGCCAACATGACAAAACAGGAAAATGATAAATGTTGGAGAAGATGTGGGAAAATTGGAACACTAATGCATTGCTGGTGGAGTTGTGAAATGATCCAACCATTTTGCACAGCAATTTGGCACTATGCCCAAAGGACTATAAAATTGTGCATACCCTTTGGCCCAGCAATATCACTTCTAGGGCTGTATCCCAAAGAGATCATACAAATGGGAAAAGGACCCACATGTACAAAAATATTTTTAGCAGCTCTTTCTGTTGTGGCAAAGAATTGGAAATTGAGGGGATGCCCATCAAGTGGGGAATTAATGAACAAGTTGTGGTATATGAATGTAATGGAATACTATTGTGCTATAAGAAATGATGAGGAGGCAGACTTCAGAAAAACCTGGAAAGACTTGTGTGGACTGATGCTGAGTGAAGTGAGCAGAACCAGGAGAACATTGCACACATAACAGTCATATTGTGCAATGATTAACTTTGATACACTTAGCTCTTCTCAGCAATGGAAGGATCTAAGACACATCCAGAGAAAGAACTATGGTGTTTGAATGCAGACTGAAGCATACTATTTGCTCTTTTTGGCTTCTGTTTTGTTTTATTTCCTCTTTCTGGTAATTCCTCCTGTGGGTTCTAATTCTTCTTTACAACATGACTAATGTGAAAATATGTTTAATAGGAATGTATATGTAGAACCTATATCACATTGCATGCCATCTTGGGGAGGATGGGGGGGAGACAGGGAGAGAAAATTTAAAACTCAAAAGCTTATGGAAGTGAATGCTGAAAACTAAAAATAAATTATTAACTTAAAAAAGTATCACAAAACAAATAAATAGATGATTGTTCAAAAAAAAAAGTCATACTTACTTTTCATATATTAAGCAAGGAAGAATAAATAACATTTGGAACACACATCGAAATGCACTAATTTCTGCTGAATGGATATCTTGTATTTTTTTTACTAATAAAGAGGCCACTGAGAAAAATAAGGCAGACAATAATGTATAAAACAAGCCAAGTCCAGGGCAGGTAACTTTCTTCTTAGCTTCTGAAAAAAGATTAAATTCCAATTAGCTTTTGTTTTCATAAATACTTCTATTACAAATGGTTATTTAAGTTAGAAATTTGGAGGAAATGCCATAGTATTCCAAAGATGAATGAGTTCACAAACTTTACCTTTTAAGCCATCCACTCACTATCCCAAGCATCAATTTTTCCCCACGTCTGATATTTGTACATAGCCACTTTAAAAAAATTATAAAAATACCATTCACTCCTCACATTGTCTATGTCATAAAACCAGGACGCTCCTTGTCAAGATAACAGGAAAACTCCTGAAAAATGGTTTGGCAACAAGGTAGGGGAAAATTTCATTGGCCCCTCTGAAAACATGTATTTACAGCCTCTCAAATGCAAGAAGTATTCTCTAACTATTATGGGTTAAAACAAAAATGTATGTCATAAAAGCACTCTATGCAAGGCAGGGAATCACTTTAGCAACACTAGGAGGCGGCATTAGCTAACAAATGGAGATCCTTTCTACAGTTATCTTGAAATGTTAAATTTAGCTTTTCATGTGTCCAGGTCTTATCTCCCCAGTAGACAGTAAACACTTGGAGAACAGAAGGATAATCCTATACTTCTTTGTAATTTCCAGAGAGCCAATTATAATGCCTTTCACAAGAGTACACAACTATTTCATTTTTATTTAAATGAGATTTGACTTTTATTATGTGAAATTTATGTGAGGTATGCTGGATTTGAAGTCAGAAAACCTGGGTTCAAATCCTTTCTCTGCTACTTTCTACCTGTGGTATCTGTCTTGCTTCCCTCATCTATAAAATGATGAGGTTGGACCAGACACAGACTCCTGACTAAATCTATTCTAAATCTATGACTTCAGGATTTTTGACTTCCTTGCTGATCATATGAGCTTCAAAGTAAACCATAAATGTCTATATCTCTTTATATTTCTATAAAAGGGGTGGGGGATAGTAGCAATAGCCAAGGGTCTTCTCCCTGGTGGTAGTATAATTTGTGGCACAAGTAAATTCAGCCTGGGATAAGACAGAACATAAAGTACCACAAACTTTTAAAACTTTTTAAACTACTAACAATAAAACCATTTAGATTTTCAAACGCAGCTGCCTTGATGAACTTTACAGTTATGTAAGAAACAACAATTTCATACAACCCTCAGATCCTTGAGTAAGGGATGGAAATCCAACCACATTGTAAACTTTGCAAACTAGAATTATAATTTTCAAAACATGAATGTACAGAGTTAGCCACTAAACACTACTGCTTAAGGATGTTGCTAGTACCCTGTTAAAAACAACAACAAACAACTGCCTTATTTCTATAAATGTATAAGTCACTTTACAATTCTAAATACCAAAGAGCTTTCATGTACATTTCAACTCTTGAGGACCATTACTTTCTTTTTTTTTCTTTTTTCTTTTTTTTATGAGTGAGGTAATTCACAGCCTGGAATGTAAGTATAATCATGGAAGCAGATTTTCCAAGGACAGTTCTAAAAATTTATCATTTGTATTTTAAGAATGGGTTTCCTCACTATATAAATACCTACGTGCATAAATTTGGCTGCAGACTAATTTGTAGGCAGCAGTCATTAATGTATGTAGCCCAAAACTCCTAGTTTATATTCTGTTTGAAAACAAAAACTAGGCATATTTCATCTCAGAAGAATGAAATTTAAAGACTGTTGCAAATTAACTGGTGTGAAATACATACCTCAGTTGTGGTTGGGACTTAGAAATTACATTTTTGAAATTTCATACTCCAAGTCCAAAAAAAATAGATTCTTTTTTAAAGAAAAACATTCATGGAGCCTGAACTCCTGGATTAGAATGGGGAAAAGAAAAAGAAAAAGAAAATAACAACCCTAAGATAGAAATACTTCCCTTTTTCTGTAATTCCATAGTTATAGTCATTAATACCTAATTTTATTACATTTTCTTCAAGAAATATTTTAACTTCATAAGAAATTCTTTTAACTTAAACTGTATATTTTGGCTCTAATCACACACACAAATATAATACAATTATATTCATAATTGGGACAAGTGGAACAGGGTCATGAAAAGTCAAGTGGGGAGTGGGTGGGTGGGATTGGCTACACAGAGGTAGTGGATGGGGATTAATCATATTTAAACTGATAGACACTAATAAGCCCCTCACCAAATTATCATTGCCCTCTAAAACTGCTTCAGATCTGGCTGGGAAGATAAGATATAGGCACATTAAACAAGTAGAGAACATTTGGAGTCAAGTAACTTGGAAAGCAATACAAGAGATGTCACAAGGCATCCAAGTACCAAACAAGTGATACTGTGTTATCACAGTTCAATGGGGAGAGACTCCTGGGAATGAGAATGATCAGAGAAAACTTCATGGAAGTGGAAGCACTTGAATTGGTCCTTTTGAAGAGTGCTAGGTTTTGGAAAGGCTGAATGAGACAAAGACTGGCTCATCTTCTTCCCTATTAGATTGTAAACTCAAGGACTGGAACCCCAAGTACTTCTGTAACTCCTTTAGCACTTTAGAGTATTTTCTATATGGTAGGCATTTAATTAATAATAATAATAAATTGAATTTGGCAAAATGTCTATAAAGGTGGTCTAGAAAAAGTTCTGGAAGGCCCTAAGCATATCAAGTAGAATGGGAATGAACAACCTGGACTGATTAGACCTTGCCAAACTACATTCACATTTCAGTTACCGGCAATAACAGAGGGGAGCAGTGATGGAGATCACCTGAAGTGGGATTTGGCCTTCTAATGTGTGTTTTCCTTGAATAGGAGAGAACATTCTTCCACAGCAATGCTTGAAACCAAATAATGCAAGCCATGTAGTGAAGTTAAGCCAAAGCACCCTATTATAAATTTCAGCTGTGATTATAATGCTCAAGTTTACAAAGAACTTAAAGAAATTAGGTTATCCATTTTTTAAGATAAAACTTTTTAAAAAGATTTGGGGAGATGTTGGCTATATGTGAGAAAGAAAGGGAGAGAAAAAACGACCTGTAATGGTACTTAATCTTACTTTTTAAGGTTTGTTTTCCAAAATGACTTTGTTTCAACCAAAGAGCCTCAATTGCTTCAACCTGACTAGTTGCAATAAACCTACTAAATGTTGTTTATTAAAAATGGCTACTGAAACCCTAAGCAAAGGGTGTCCCAAAAGTTTTGGTGAAGTTTTAAGCTATTAATGCTTAAAAACTACACTAAGACTTTTGGGACACCCTCTATTTTTAAAGTTTTCATTCTGTCTTCTGTTTTTTACATCATCATAGTTATTCCCAGTATCTCTTCCCTACCTCCTCCCAGAAAGCAATCACATACCATAAACTGCATTTTTTTAAGGAGGAAAAAAAAATCAGCACACTTGATGGATAGATACATTGAAAAAAGTCCAAAAACATGTGCAATGTTTTGTAAAGCCTGTGGGTCTCGAACCTCCATCAAAGGGAAGAAAGCTGGAGGTACACCTCGTATTTTAACATGGTTATTTAGCTTCAATCATTTGGCAATATAGTAATCCTTTCTGAAATGAAGAGTGATCTTTATTATCTTCCAAAAAGATAAATCTTACCACATTATTTCACAGAATAAGCAAGTATGTGCTTTATGCTATGGTAGAGAAAACTACAGAGTTATTAAGGAATTGCCAGCAACAAATATCATAATTTTATGAGTGTGGAAAATAACCCACTCAGCATTAGACTAGAACAGTCGATTGTTAGGTAGATAAGATGCTATAACTAGTCAGTTGCAAAGAGTTGAAGGAGGAGCCACACCCTGAACCACACACCCCACCTTAGTTTATGGACTATAACAGGAGCTGGAAGGCACTTACTGTAGGGACCACATAACCAACCAACCAACCAACAAGTATTTATTCTAACCTGTCCATTTTATAGATGAGAAAACCAAATGCCCGAGCAAGGAAGTGAGTTGACTGAAGGTCACAAAATGAGTTGGTAGGACAAAAACTCGGGTCTGCTCCCAGCACACCCGTCTTTCCACCGTTCATACTACATGCAAAGGGACTTTCAATCTAATTCTATACATTCTATAAAGAATTTGTTAATACTTTCTATACTTTTCCCACTGCCTAATCCCATACATTCTATAGACTTCTTTCTACTTTTTCTACTTCTAGCCTAATCTGCTATACGGTACCTAACGGGTGCTCCATCCATGCCGTTCAACTTAACTGAAACTAATTTTGGAGATGGGATGTTTTCTAAAAATGGGGCAGGGGTCTGAGAAGCAAGCAGCATTTTGGCGTTCACCCCGAACTAACAGAACTGCACTCCCCCCCCCGCCCCATTTCTGCCCAGACCCACCGGTCCCCGGAGCCGGGGGCTCCCTGAGCCAGATGCGCAGGGGGAGAACGGGCTCTGCGATGCGCTGCTACAACGCACTTGACTGCACCTGGTCAAGTTCAAGTTCAGGCGTGGGGCGTCAGCGCGCGTTCTCGCCAGGGCTATCTCCTGGGGGCCGGCTGCCCAGACGACTGCGGCTCCGGGGGAGGTCCCGAGGGGGGGGCATAGCCCTGCCGGGCTCCGCACCCCTCCTGCGGGGGGTCGGGATGCTCCGTCGGAGTCTCGCCGGTCGCCCCAGCCTCTCCCCGGGCCGCGGGCGCCGGCAGCGGGACCTCGGGGCCAGCCCGCCGCACTCACCGGGGTTTTCATTTGGGACCGCGCAAGGGCAGCAACCGCCCGCTGCGATCTGCGAAGGGGCCGGGTCCGCCGCCGCCGCTGCGTCCACCGCCTCCAGCGCTTCCTCCTCCGGGCGGCCGCTCAGTCGCAGGGACTCCTCCTCCGGAGCCTGTAGCGCCGGCTCCAACAGCTCGGGCTCCTGTGGCTCGGCAGTCACAGCGCCCCCGCCGCCCATCCTGTTGCCCAGGCCGGCCGGCACTGGCGACGGCCGGCTCCGCAGCCTCGGCTCTTCCGGCAGCCTCCGGAGCGGCGCATGCGCGCGGCCGCCCCTCGCAGCCCCCCGCCCGCGAGAGGCTTCCCCAGACTTCCCGGAGCGGGGGCTTCCCCGCAAACTCCTGGGCCAATCAGTTCCGCCGCCCTCGCGGTCTCCTGCGGCCCTGGGAGCCCCCTGGTAGTTACAAACTAAACCCAGAGCTCAAGCCTGTGAATTTATGAGACTCGCGCATGTGGTGTGTAGAGCACCCCTCAGCTAGCACGGGCTGGTGGACACCCCCATCGCACTACCGCAGATTGAAAGTACTCTGTGCGTCAGCTTTCCTAAGCGGTGTAGCGCAAGAGTCCGCACCTCTATGTTTACCATTGGAGAGTCCGCCAGAGAATACCGGGAGCTGATTTCAAAGATATTCACTGAAATGTCATAGTAGCAAACTCCCTCGCAAATACATGTCACACAAAACACTCCGTTTCCAGACACAGGGCATTTTCATTGGACGTTCACCATGCCTGCAATACTTTCTCCCTCTTTTTATTCCTCTCTCCTGGCTTCCTTCAAGTCCCAGCTAAAAACCTACCTTCAACAGGAAGCCTTTCCAGGTCCCCATTAGTGCTAGTGCCTTTCCTCTACTGATAATCTCCCAATTTATCCCGTGCATATTTTGTTTGTACATTGCTATGTTGTCTTCCTCCCTGCTCCAGACTGTAAACTCCTTGAGAGAAACTGTTTTTGTCTTTCTTTGTATCCCTCAGCAATCGGCCCAGTGCCTGAAACATTGTTGTTCTTTAGTCGTTTTCAGACTGACTCTTCATGACCCCTTTTTTGGGGGTTTTCTTGGCAAAGATACTGAAGTGGTTTGCCATTTCCTTTTCCAGATGTGGAAACTGAGGCAAACAGGTTTAAGTGACTTGCCCAAGGTCACACAGCTAGTAAGTGTCTGAGGCAGGATTTGAACTCATGAACACAAGTCTTCCTGATTCTAAGCCCAGTGCTCTATCCACTGTTCCACTTAACTGTCCTCTCTATTGTGCTACCTAGCTAAGCCTGAAACATAGTAGGTGCTTAATAAATGCTTATTGATTGGAAATATGGGAGACCCATAGGTTCGCAAGTGAAATGGCATACACTTGGCCAACACTACCTACACCTCCCCTTGCCCTAATGTTTTTTCTGTCTTCTCCAAACTTTGTTGGAGATTCTCCAAATCTTGTTGCTTTTCCTGAAGTCAGCCAGACCTCTGGGCTTGCTGCTGTACTGGGCTGTAGTTCTCCACTGCCTAGAGCTTTCAGGCTTAGCTGAAATCTTGCCTTTAGAGTACTGTTACTTGGGGGAAAACCAGGACCTACACTCTGGGACCAGCCCTCAGACTGACCATCTCCCAAGCATGACCCTCTCCCCTCAAGTGCCAGCTTCTCAACTTCTCTCATCAACTCCACTGGACTCAATTATGCCGCTGGACCCTACTGCACTGAATGTTATCACGTGCTTCTCTGCCGCAAGGTGCTGCTGCCTACGGAAGATGGTGGTGAGAAGGGGAAAGAAAACTCGTCTTCCCCAGGTCTTGTACTCTCCAAGAGGTTCAAGGAAAAAGAAAGATAAATTTTTTTTCCTCAAAACTGTCCAAGGTAAGCTCCCCACCTCCACTTGGTGAAACAATTCTCAGTCTCTCCCATTTACCCAGATCAGTGAGCAAATGGAGAAAGCACATGCCCAGAGGGCAAGTCTATTGTTTGGGTAAATCCACAGTCTCATTTCTTGAATCTTACTTATGCAAATGTCCATTCAAAAGTCTCAAACCCTCCCCTTTCAGCAAGTGAATCAGGGAGACACTACTGATCAAGGGTCTCCAGATTGATCTACCTTATACTATTTATCTGTGTTTTCTTTGCATCTCCAAAATTTAGCAGTGCCTTGTGTATAATAGGCACATAACAAATATTTGCTGAATTGGGTTGAATTAAGGCCACACACTTTTAGATGTATTCAAATCTAGTTTCATTGTATCTAAAAGAGGGAAAGAATCCAAAAGAATGGAAAATATCACAACTGATATCATTAAACAAACCAAAAACATGAAGAAATTAAAGATATACATGTCTGCTTTCTCATATCTATTAAAAAAAACCCTACAGGGAACATCATGACAATAATAATAGCATTTATGTTCTCTAAGATCTGCAAAATGTTTTACAAACATCTTGTTTGATCCTCACTACAAATCTGAGAGGTAAATGCTATTATTGTTCCCATTTTACAGATGGGAAAACTGAGGCACATGGTGGTTAAATGACTTGCCCAGAGTCACAAAGCTAGTTAAGTGTCTGAAGAGTGCTGAGTCTGAATCAGGAAAACCTGAGTTTAAATCTGGCTTCAGACACTTACTAGCTGTGTGACTGTGGGCAAGTCACATAACCTTATCTGTAGAATGAGCTGGAGAAGGAAATGGAAAACCACTCCATTATCTTTGCCAAGAAAATCTCAAAAGGGGTCACGAAGAGTTGGACACAATTGAAAAAATGACTTAAGCAAGACTTCCTGACTCCAGGTGATCAATCTATCTACTAGACCACCTAATGTCAGAAGAATCAAATTTTGTAAGCAATCCAGAGGGAAAGGTAAAAATCCATCATGAATGTAAGTTGGTTGGAGAATATTACCAATAATGATCTACACAGGAGGCATGGGGATACTGTGGGAAAAGTGCTACGTTCAGAGTCCAAAGACAGATTGGAATTCCAGCTCTGGTACTAATACCTGTGTGACCTTTGGCGGGTCACATTATCTCTGTCACCTCATCTGGAAAATGAAGGGGTGGAAATTAAGATTACTTTACAACGACCCAGTTCTAAATCATTTGCCCTATGATCCTTGGTGACATTAAAAGACAACATCAGAGACAACATCAAAGGCATAAGAAAACAAGGCGATCCTTTTATGTAGGTAGAGTGAGAAATACCGATTCAGTGGTACAACTGCAGTGGTATCTGAGAAGTACTAAAAGGACCAGAGAAAAACCTCCAGCACATTGGCTATCTCCTTGATAGACCTCTATGAACAAGAACCACACAGTCTGAGATGTCACTGTAATAGAAACCTGAAGAAGCGTTGTTGTTGTTGTTGCTGTTCCATCATTTCAGTCGTGTTCAACTCTTTGTGACCCCCTTTGGGGTTTTCTTGGCAAAGATACTGGAGTGGTTGGCCATTTCCTTCTCCAGCTCATTTTATAGCTGAGGAAGCTGAGGCAAACAGGTTTAAGTGACTTGTCCAGGATCACATAGCTAATAAGTGTCTGAGGCCAAATTTGAACTCAGGAAGATGGGTATCGCTGACACCAAGCCTGGCGCTCTATCCACTGTGCCACCTACCTGCCCTGAAAAAGAAGTAACCACATAACCGAGAAAACAGATATAGCAAACTTTGAAGGTTATAAAATTTGTTACATGGGTTTCCCACAACCCTGAACCCTATGAATATTCCAAGTTCAGTGTAAGATTATTTTGTTAATCAATTGTGCTACTTATAACAAGAGCCCCCATTCAGTGCATTCTTTACTGCTAGACCATACATATGACATATAAATTAAATAGCAAAATAATTGATATGTAAAATAAATGTTAATAACAAGAAAGGTATTAAGTAGCAGAGTCAGTCTATTCCCCATACACAAATATATGTAATCTTCTACACTTTCCCAGAGGGGATTAGATTTAGATACCAGATAGAAACTTGCTGGAGAAGACTAATGAGGAGATGGGAAAACTGTCCCTCTACATGTGGACAAATGAGTTAAGAGAACTGTGAATCAGTCCCCAGTCTTCTCTCACCATGCTGGGAATGTCAGTCACTGAGATCTGCTAACCTGGGGGAGGGGAAGGTGAGGGATGAAGAAATCTGCAGCTTAAGAGTCATCAGGTTTCTGCCTGACCTCTGTCCCTGCTTGCTCCCACTGTTCTGTAAGTCTTGTTTTTCTTAATTCCTTCTGCAGGTCCAGCTCCATGCTCACAGCTGTTCAGTCCAGTCACCTTTCTTCTCCCCTCTCCACGTGTCTCGACTTCTTTTCGTTTTCCATTCTTAAGTGTTTCAGGAGTTGTTTTAGTTTGAAGGTGTTGGTCGTAACCACTGTTAAAGGAAAACGAGTTAGTATGTTGTCCTAGTATCCTTCCCTTGTCCCCATATTCAAGTAAAATATTCCTGGGAGTCTCATGTCCTACAGGTCACTTCTCTACTGAAGAGCAGCTCCCGTCTATCATAACTATGGGCAATTAAAGCTTTCCTGGAGAGCTTCCACTCAGGGTAGTCTGCCTACTCCATTTATATCTATGAACTGATTTATTCTTTTCAAACCACATTCACTCTGTACATAAATGACTCCCTGCTTGACAATCCAGCATTTGTGGGAACTTCTTCAACAGTACCATTTTGTAATCAACTGTCCTAGTAGAAAGTCTAGACATTGCTATGCCTACCATATACTTTCCTTTTAGTAATAAAATGTTTCATCTGTTTTGCCTGAAGTTTTGCATATTGGCCCTTGCCTAGGAAAAGAACAGACTTTTTATTGTTTCAGATAGGAAAAAAAAGTAGGATTATAAAAGCATTCAGGGACTTTAGTGATCATCTAGACCCGCCCCCACTGTTGTGGTCTGGGAAAACCTCTAGTTCTTCTTGCCCAGATTTTTCTGTTCAGTAGGCTGCCTATTTCTCAGACATGGCTCTTTCTCCTTACTGGTACCCCCTTTCCTTCTGCCCATTCCACCTACATCCCAATATATAGAAATCTTCTATACTTGGAACATTCTAGACTAGAAATGATCAGTTTCTTAACTGATTGTCAGTCTCACTGCCTGTGACCTCAGGGATTAAAAAAAAAAAAAAAACAATTAAACTCTCCTGAGTGGTACTCCCCCTCACTAGAAAAATGCCTGAGTGATTCTGATCTGGAATCAGTCTGGATATCTTAG